GGGGTGGGGGGGAAGGCGGCCATGGAGGAATAGTGATCGGTCTCGGGAAAACAGCCCAATATATGGGGCGAGACGGGTGTGTAGCTGATGTGAAGGAAGAAATTTCCACGTGAAAGTGTGTCCTGCCAGGCAGTAGCCAGCGCTTGGTCCGCTGTTGGTGCCGAATGCCTCCTGGACAGTCCTGGTGCTGCCCGGGAAGGGGCACTGGCCACAGTGCCAGGCCCCCCACCCCCTTTGGGAGCCGGGTACCTGCGGTCTCAGCATCCTCTTTCCGGTAAGGGATGCGGAAAACTGCACTTTATCGGAGTCGACAGGGCTCATCAAGTGACCGAGCACACTTTGCTTCACACCTGAATTACTCCCCCTGAAGGAACTTTTAGGAAGTAGCTTTCGCCCTCCATTGAATGGGCCAAGTGAGAGAAGCCTTGATGGGCCGTGGCTCGAGCATGGTTCAAGTGACGTGGTGTTCAAGCAACCACTTTAAGTTTCTTCCTTAGGGAGCGGGAGCCTGGTGCGGGCAGAGTTCAGATGAGTTGGATGGCGCTCTGGAAGGGCCGCAGGCAGCCCCAAAGCCTGGCGATGGTAGGCAGACGCGGGGTGAGAGGTGTGGGATGGGAGCCTGCCCTGCCCCAAGTCCTGGCTGCATGGAGTACGTGGGGCTGGGTGACTGGGTGATGGGACCCGGATGTGGTCCCTGGAGGAGAGTGAGTGACCGGAGGCGCGTGGATCTGGAACTTCTCGTTAAGCGATGAGCAAGCATTCCTGGAGCCTCGGCGTTCCCGCTGGAGGCGTGCAGCCTGTGGCTGGTGTTGAGTTGGGGCCCTGGGAGCGAGGACTGCAGGAGAGTGAGTGATCGGAGGCGCGTGGGTCGGGAACTTCTCGTTAAGCGATGAGCAAGCATTCCTGGAGCCTCGGCTTTCCCGCTGGAGGCGTGCAGCCTGTGGCTGGTGTTGAGTTGGGGCCCTGGGAGCGAGGAGCGCGTCCCCAATCACGGTGCATCCTGGCTGGGAGGGTTTGCTAGCGGCACCTGGAGCTCAGGGAGGAGGAGAGACTTCTGCAGGGAGCGGGAGCGGGAGGGGGCACCCACAGTGGATCCACGGCGTTGTGGGGCTGTTTCCATGCTTAGTGAGTCTGTCCTCAGAAACGCTAGGAAGCAT